TAAAAAATAAATATTGCCATTAAAACAAATAAATATCACTATTTAAAAAAATAATTATCACCCTTTATGGTTGTGGCTTTTGTTTACCCATATGCTTTCACCTGCTTCATTCAGGAAAACAAAACTATGGGTTGTCTCAAGCAGAAAACACAACCTTATGTCACCAAAGAGTATTTCTTTTTGAGATTAATTGAAAAATGATTCTTCTTGATATCTCTTCTTTTTTTTTTTTTAACCAACTGATGTCAGAATGGTCTTTCATGTCCAAGTTCCAGTCTGTTCATAGCGTTTCTGGTGTGAAAGCAAGAACAGAGGCAGCACGTGTGAAAGCAGAGAGCTGCTCCGCTCTGCCCCAGCTGCGCAGTTTTCCTGGGAGAAGTTGCCAAAAAATGTAATGATGCAAAGTGAAACTGATGCTAATTTGGAGGTGAAGCATGAAGGGACTGGAAGAAGGGAAGCTGTGGTCAGATTTTTGTTTTTAAAGAATCGTAGGTAAACTGGTTGATGCTGTAGCCCGTGCCACTTCACCTCCCAGGTTTCTTTAATCCCTCTGTCTACTAGGAAACCCCTAATTAATACAGAAATACTGTGTTGATCCTTTTGCAGGAATCTGGATTTGGGCTCTCTGATTGTGTTTCTCTGCAGCCTTTTCTTGTGTCACTTGCAATGAAGGACCAAATAACATACCATCTCCTATGGATGTGGTTTGTGGCCAGCTGCCCGCAGTGTTGCTGCCCGTGGCCGCAGCGATGCTGCTCCCTGCTTCCTCCCAGCCCCGCGGTCCCGCTGCACGGCACGGTTTGTGGGACTCTGCCGTGGATGGGTTTAGGATGAGGAAGCTGATGTGGATTTGAAATGCTGTTTTCGGTTCCCTGGACAGCTTCCTGCTGCTGTGGCCTCAGGAGTGGGACAGTGTGCCATCCTGCATCCCAAGCTCGTCCCAGCCTCCGGCGGAGCGTGGCTGGGAGCTGGGGTGGCCAGTGCCTTACGGCGGGTTTGAAACGCTGTGTTTGGAGGTTTCTTTTTGGTTCTTGTGGTGCTCAGCTAAGCGTGGCTATCTGTGCTACCAAGGGCACGTCTGTCTGTCCACAGCATGCCAGGAGAAGGGTCCTGTGAGGCAGCTGTCGAGCCGGAGCCAAAGATCGATTTCCCTCCGGGATGGCTGTTCCCATTGCCGTGCCCCCAGATGCCATTCGTGCACCTTTTGCCGTGATGGATTCTACTTCTCGTCCCGGCTGCAGCATCTATGAAAATGTTTAAAGGACTTTGGATTAATAAATTCTGCTCTGACCTTCTGATGACTCTCTTGTTTCCTGCGAAATTCCAGCTTCAAAATACAAATTATCCCCTTGTCTCTCTGCTTCAAGCCCTGGAGATCAGCTCAAGGCACAGGAAATCTTCAATGTTCAAAGGCTCCCAGTAAAACCCTGGTAGCTGCCCATGGCAGGATGCCATTAGTGGCCGAAGAAGTGGTGTTCAGGGCTGCAGTGGCTGTTTGTGGTGGGAGTTTGCACTCAGAACCATCCCAAGCTCTTAATTATCATGTTGCAAAATGATCAAATGTGCTTTGGGAAAGGTTGGCTGCCTCATGGTTATTTGCAGCCCCAGGATGGGGTCTTGCCTGGTAAGAAGCAGGAGAGTTGTCTCCGTGGCGTGAGATGAAGGACCTAATTCTTCTTGGGCATTGCAGAGACCAGTGCAACTGGAAGGGCAGGACTCTGGCCATGGCTGATCCCATCCAGCTCTGCCACATAACCTGCCTGCTCCTGTCCTGCAGGCCAGCCACGTTGCTGGCACCAAATGTGGATTCTTTGCTTTCATTTAAAACAAAACCAACACCCCCTGACACACACACGTTGCTGCATTACTGCTGCCCACGTTTATTGCAGCACTTGTATTCTGGATTGATTATTCATGCTGAGCGTTGCAGCCTGGCAGCTTCTGCTGGAAAGAATTCAGTTTTGAGTGTGACCTTGTCTTTGCTAGCAGGTGAACTGTGTCAGGCTGTCCTTGAGCTACCCTGGGTGAGCAGGAGCTGACCAAAAGGCTTAGTCATTTGGGGTGAGGCTCACAAATCAGCTGCAAGTAGATGCTGGTGGCTGCTGGTCAGAGTGGTGGGTAGGTTCCTCTCCAGGGCAGGTCAACACACCAAACACCACCAGCGAGCACAAAAATTGATTGTATTTGCAA